CAAACAATAAAAGAAAAAATAAAATCGAATTTTATTAAAACAAAATACTTTTGTTTTTCAAAAGGCACTATTATGGAAATGAAAAGACAGGCCATGGCCTAGGAGGAAATAATTGCAAAAGTTTTATCTGATGAAGGACTTGTATTTAGAATATCTAAGTAACTTTTACAACTTAAAAAGTAATCTAATAAAAATAGGCAAAAGATTTGAACAGACATCTCACCCAAGAGGATATTTGAATGGCAAATAGGATGAAAAACCACTCGGCACATTATTTACTGGGGAAATGCAAATTAAATACTGGCAGGCCCACCATCACACATCTACTAGAACTGCTAAAATTAAAAACCCTGACCATACCAAGCCTTTGCAAGCGTGTGGAGGAACTGGAACTCCCAGACGCTGCCGGCAGGAACTCAGAATGACCACTTTGGAAAACGGTTTGGCAGTTTCTTAAAAAGTTAAACATATATTCGGCCATAACTAGAAATGAGTTATCAAGATACAGAAAGGTGGTGGAAACTCAAATGCCTATTGCTAAGTAAAGGAAGCCAGTATGAAACGCTACCTACTGTATAAGTTCAACTATATGACATTCTGAAAAAGGCAAAAATAGAGACAATAGAAAGATCAGTGGTCGTTGGGGGTTCAGGGGAGAAGAGAAGGGTGAATAGGTGGCACATGGCATTTTTAGGGCAGTGAAACTATTTCTATTACACTGTAATGGCAGATACATGGCATTATAGATTTGTCAAACCCATAGAATACACAACAGCTGAGAGGGAACCTTAATGTAAACTTGGACTTTAGTTAATAATAATGTATCGATATTGGTTCATCGATTGTAACGAATGTACCACACTAATGCAAGATGTTAATAGAAGAAACTGTGTGGGAGGGAGAGGGTTTTCAGGGAATTCTCTACTGAGCAATTTTTCTGTAACCTTAAAATTGCTTTAAAAAATAAAGTCTATCTTAAAAAGAAGAAGGAAAAAAACCGTTAAATATACACTTACCATATGACCCAGTCATTCTATTCCTAGGCATTTACCCAAGAGAAATAAAAGCATATGTCCACACACACTCCTGGGCATTTACCCAAGAGAAATAAAAGCATATGTTCACACAGTGCATGACTGTTTTTACTTGTAATGGCCCAAACTAGAAACAACCAAGTGTTTATTAATAAACTGTGAATGGATAAACAAATTGTGATACATATGTGTGTGTGTGTGTGTGTGTGTGTGTGTGTATAATAGAATACTACTCGGCAATAAAAAAGAATAATGGATGAAACTCAGACTACTTTATACTGAGTGTAAGAAGCCAGAGAACAGTACATACTATATAATTCCACTTAAATGAAAATTCTAGAAAAAGGATACCAATTTAATGACAGAAAGCAGATCAGTGATTGCCTGGGGGTGCTGACAGGTGGGAAAGGGTGGGAAGGATTAACTAGGGGCTTCAGGAAACTTATTGGGGCGATGGATGTGTGACTATGTTAACAGTTTTACGGATGCATGCATGTCAAAACAAAAATGTACATTTTAAGTATATGTGGTTTATTGTATGTCAACTATGCCTCAATAAAGCTGTTGAAAAACACCAATAGGACTTAATCACTGGTTAGATATGCCTCTTGGGAGACAGGGAGGGATCAAAGATAACTCTAGACCCTTGATCTGGCTTGACTGCCTGATTGGATTAATAGGGGAGTACTCACAAAGCTGGAGGGACAGTGGAGGATCAGGTTGGAGGAAAGCATCGGGAGCCCCCCAATCCAAGATGAAATGTTCAGGTTGGGAATAGAGGTACAGATTTGGGGGTCACTAGCCATTGGTGCCACCTGAAAGAAGTAGAGGCCAGGAGACACTTTATTCTGAATACGAAAGTACTTCATAAAGATGTCAGTTCTCCTTAATCCATAGATCTAAAATTCTAAGATTTAAAATTCTAAGATTTTTTTTTGGAGGGGAGGACTATAAAAGCTGATTTTAAGTTCATATGGAAAAATAAACAAGAATTTTTTAGCCAGGAGACCTGAAGACAAAGAGTAATGAGTAGAGACTAACCTTACCCAATATTAAAACAACAAATTTATGATAATTAAATATAATGACGAAGAGGGGTACTAGCACATATAGATCATTGGAAGATAGAAAAATCTAGAAATATGTAAATGCATGCGTGTTGGAATTCAGTATAAGATAAATGTAGTATTTCAAATCTGGTGAGAAAAGACAAGTTTTCAACAAAAAGCATTATGAAAATAGGAGGGAATTTTGTGTATAATAAATTCCAGATGAACTCATGATTTAAATATAAAAAAATGAAAACAAAAATACAGCCAGGAGCTAAGGAAGAAGCTTCTTTAGTCAATTCAGTGTGGAAAAATTCTTTTTAACTATGACACAAAATCCGGAAGCCACACACACACACACACACACACACACAAAATTGATTTTACATTTAAAAATCAGGATGACACTTGAAATTTAAATTTAAATTAAAAAAATAAAAAACAAAAATCAGTACAGCAAAGTCAAAATAAATTGAAGAAAATACAATTTACATCTTGAAGGGCTATTTTTTCTTCAAACCCTTATGTCAATCAGAAACCAAAAATAGCAGAGAAATGGACAAAGACAAGGAGGGTTCACGGAAGATAGCTCTTAAACGAAACAATACTTCAGCTCGAACAAAAAAGAGATACAAATTATAACTTCACCAAGAGACCATTGTTCACTTATCAGTTTGGCAATGATAAAAAAAAAATGGGTACGTCACTGATTGGTGAGCGTTCTGGAAAACAGTATTTGCATGCATTGCTGGACATGGGGGTGGTATAGGCGTGGCCTCCTTAGAGGGATCTTCGGATGAACCATCAAAATGACAATTCAGATTGGCCTCTGAGCAATTCTTCTAGGAATTTAAGTCACATATATCTTTTCATATTTGAATAATATCCTTACAAAGTTTTAGTGACTCTGTGTAGCTCTATTTGGAAACCAGAAGTCTGAAAACAACTTTATCGTTGATCAATACAGAACAAGTTACATTATGGTACATTTATGAAGAATACTATACAGCTGTCAAAAGGAATGTATGGATAGGAGACCATCTTCAAAATGTTAATAAGTACACAAAAGAGTGCACAGAATTCTTCTGTTTGAGTTTTTAAAAAGGGAGGTGGGACATATATGCATATTTGGTGCCGTGTTTTCTTTCTGACTCTCATTTCAAATGTGTTTTGTCCCAGATACCAAATATATGTGATTTTTCCACACCAACTCTCTAACTTTCCAATACCAACTAGTTGCCTACAATTCAATTCAATTCTGACACTAATTCCAAGACTTAGCAGAGACCCTGTAGGTTAAGGGCTCACAAGATGCCAGCCACAAATGGGATACCCAGGCGACTCATACACCTGTGTGGCCAACGGCAAATTTGGGGGTGCCATGGTCCCTTCCTTGGGTTTGATAATTCGATAGACTCACAGAACTCAGGAAAGTGCTATACTATTACCAGTTCACTCAGTAACAGCCAAATGGAAGAGATGCATGGGGCAAGTTATAAGGGGAGGGGGCAGAGCTTCCATGCCCTCTTCGGGTGAGCCACTCCCCCCTCCAGCACATCTGCATTCACCAACCTAGACACTCTCCGAATATCCAGTCACCCTCACTTCTCTCCCAGAGAGGTGGAGGAGCTGAAAGTTCCCACCTTCCAGATTGGTCTTTCTGGTGACCACCTCTACTTTAAGTCATTCATTAGCAGAAACTCAGTCATGGTCCAAAGGGAGTTCATTACTATCACTCAGTACATTCCAAGGGTTTTAGGAGCTCTGTGTCAAGAACCAGGGATGTGTATATTATCTTTTTTTACACATTTGGTAATATGTGTTTAGATTCTTTCTCTGAAAGGACATAGATTATTGCTTTCATTGCTTTTAGGGACAGGAAACGGGCAGCTGGGAGTCAGGGATAGGAGGTGACTCTTGGTTCAAAATTCAAAACGTACATGTGAATATGTTATCTATTTGAAAAACAAATTCAACATACTTTGTAGCCCTGGCCATGGCTTCTAATATCCACAGTGTCCAGGCTTTAGCTCCATGCTCCTTGGGAGCCATTCACAGAGCACGTACGTAGGGCAATCACATCCAGATTCTTGCCACGTGACTCTCCATCTTCCGTTCCAGCCCCAGACACACTCCCCAAACACACCCGCCCCTCGAGCTCTCCTGTCAACAGAAGTTTCCTCCACTAGTAACATGCATCTGAGTTCTATTCTCGAGACAGAGTTCTAAATCCTTCTAGGATTAACTCATTCGACATCCATTTTAGTAAAATACCCATTTTACAGATGAAGCGATGGAGATTAAATAACATGCTGAGGTCACACGGGAACTTGGAATTTGAACTTAAGCTGTTTGGCACCAGAGACCAAGACAATCACTACTGTAGTCTGTCTTTTCAAGAACACCCTTCCTTACAACCCCTCACCCTCCACGATCCTCGGGGGCAAGCTTGACATGGTTCAAGGCTCAGGTCAAATGCCACCTCCTCTGGAAAACCTTCCCTGCTCCTCTTTAATAAATATTCTTTGGAAGGGTGTTCTAGTATAATAATTACATTATATTTGATTGCAACTGAGGGCAAGGACGAACTCATTTCTAAATAAAGCTGGCCCTGCGGGCATTTCTAGATTGAGTATAGAGCTCTTTTCCATTTAAGCTTTTTTGTCCAATAGGCTCCAGGCCCTCATCTCATTCTATCCCATCTACACTGAGTAGATCTCATCATCCATAGGTGGTTATAGAAGGGAAACTGAGGCTCAGGGCGACTGGCCACCAATGGGAAAGGCAAAAGCTATTATAGAACCTGTGCTCATGGGTCTCAACCACTGATACCTACACCTGGCAGACCACCTCCATCTCAATTCTTTTCTTACCCTCCCCCACTCCCGGGGTCAAGGAGCCAGGCCGGGGCCTAAGCACAGTTGGTGTCCTGTGGACATGAGTTTATTAGAGGGGCCAGAGTCAGAGTGGGTACAAGTTACAGGTTGGGAGAAAGGGGCAGGGGGTGCTTGGGCAGCACTGCCAGTCTGAGGCCAAGACAGGAAGCCGGAGGAGGGGCGGGGGGCCACAGCCAGCAGAATGTCGGGTCAGCAGGCCAGCAGGCAGACTGCTCTTCACCCAGCGAGCGTCAGCGCCTAGGGCACTGGAGGAGGCTTTGGGAGGACTGGGGGAAGATAGACAGAGAGAGGCTCAGAGAGAGGTAACTTGCCTAGCTCACCCAGCTAGGCAGTGGCAGAGCTGGGACATGTGCCTAGGCCTGCTGGTCCACAGCCCCTTGTCCCTTCCTCTCATTTTGTCAGGACTTACACCTGCCTCCCAGACTCCCGAACCCACCCCCCGGCTCCTGTCCCCAACTCACTGTGGAGGGTGTAGGTGCCTGGCTCCAGATGCAGCTGGGGAGGCAGGACCACAAGGAAGCCTCCACGCCAAGGGTCTTCAGTCACTGAGAGACAAGCATGGGAAGGAGGGCGATACCACTCAGGGTTTGGGGACGGGCACTTGGGTAAGACAGACAAGGAGCAGGGTTGGTGGCAGTAGTGGCTGCAGAGAGGCGGTAAGCCACAGAGGGAACAATAAGGTGGCGAGAGGCCGGGGCCCCGGGGGAGGGGAACCTGGGCCTTCGGGCAGCTCCTCTGAGCCCCGCCATGATGGGGGCGTCTTTCCCGAGTCCAGGCCCAGTGGGACGGCTCCCTGGCCATGACCTGGCATGAACAGAGTGAATGGTAAATGGGGTTGGGAGGTCCAGCCTCCTTCCCCAACCCCAGACTGCCAGCAGAGCCTCACCTCCTCACAGCACTGGCAGCTCACGGCAGCCCGGAATCCCATCCGTGCCCACAGCTTGTCCCTCTGACGCAAGAAGTCTGCCACCTGATGATGCCAATCTTTGCCCAAGGCCCATGGAAAAATCACACATTTGGCTTCCTCCAGGTCCTCCTCCATGTCGTTTGCAAGGTACCTGGCCACAGAAGTGGGAGGGAGGCGAAGGGAACAGAGGCTATAAGCATCCTCCCTGCCCCATCCCACAACCTGGAGCAAGTGTCTCCCCCATGGGCCCCAGACACTCACAGTGCCAAGAACAAGTTGCTGCGGGTATACTCGCTGAGCTTCAGGTTGGCACGCCGGAAGTAGACCAGCACCATGGCCAGGAGATACTGCAGACACAGAAACGCAGGGAGGTTAGAGTCAGGCACTGGGGGGTAGGGGACGGCTCCAGGCCTGTTTGCACCCAAGGGAGTTCTGGCGCAGGTTAGAAAAACTGAGATAAAATGGTGAGAAGGGGCCTGCAGAGACAACAATTGAAAAGGAAGGTGCTCATTCCACCAGCCCAGGGGACTCAATGAATCAGCAGCACACGAACCCCACTAATTCGACCTTCCCCAAGTGACTCCAGCCTCCACCCCCAGAGTGTCCCCTCACCTTATCTGAAATCTGGAAACAGGGATCTCTGGAGAGGAACTCCTGAAGGAAGCTGTGCTCTGGGAGGAGAGAGGAGACACGGTAGTCTGGGGTCACCCCCTGCCTCCCGCACGACAAAAGTGGCAGCAGAAGCTCCAAAGCCCAGGCCTGCGCTGAACCCACTTTCTGACATGACTACCCCCACCTGCCAAACTGGGGTCACCTGAGAAGGGAAGGGACAAAGACTTCAGATGCTTTCATGAGCAGGTTGAAATCCCACCTCTCGCATTGGTTTCGACCTTGGTCCCTACAGCCTGTCCCATGCCAGCCCCTGAGTGGACTCACCCAGAAGGCCAAGGAAGGCCTGGAGCTCCTGGTGCTGGCGGGAACCGAGAGACACACTGCCTCCATCTTGACGGCTCCAGCTCCACAGCTTCACTTGGGTGGCAACCACTTGGGCAGGGGCTTGGGCGTCACTCATCTCATGGAGGGTGGGGGCGGGTAGGGTGGGGCAGGGGTGGGTGACCTGTCAAGAAAATGGCCCCAGGACTTAGCACCTTCCCTCTTCCTCCCCCATTAGGTCAAGGGGGTTGGTGAGTCTGGTCTGACAGAGGCCCTCCGGAAGGTGGAGGGACACGGGTGGAGACTTGGGGGCTTGGAACAGAAGGAATCTGGGAGGCCTGTGGGGTGGGGAGGCCAGAAAAGCAGCAGAGATCCTGAGGCTGCAACTCCCCGCCCCCAACCCCTCCTCCTGGCCCTGCAGGCCAGAGATTGAGAACAGCAGCATCAGGCACCACTGAGGACATCCTAAGTGCCTGGAGCTGTGCTGATGCTTTAAGGGCATCATCTTATTTCATCTCAGTAGGCAGGTATAACCGAAGACCCATTTTGCAAACACGGAGACAAGTGCGGAAGTCTCACGGCCGCCTGAAAGTGGAGCCTGTCTGTCCCCCAAGCCAAAAGCCAAAGAGTTTAATTGCTCCTCTTGCCCCCCAACTCATTACCAGCCCCTCACCACGCACCAATGTGGCAGTCTTGACAGGACCACCAGCCCTTAACCTCACGGAGGGGAAACTGAGGCCCAGAAAGAGGAATGTTACACAAATACCTGGGTTTAGGGCAAGTTGAGGTGGGACCACCTCAAACATTTCAAGTTATGGGGAGAGAGAGAGAGAGAGAGAGAGAGAGAGAGAGAGAGAGAGAGAGAGACACGCCACCTGAGGGCCTCAGGAGAAGGTGCCATCCACCACTCCCGTGGTCAACATGGGGGTCTCCACCTAGGATCCAGCATGCAGCCCTGTTCATTTCCTCGAGAAGACCTACCTGAGCTCAGGGATTACTTGCAGCATATCTTTCAGCCGCCAGCTCAGGCTTTTATATAGTGCCAAAGCTGCCCCGCCCCCGCGGCCTTCCACCAATCAGACCCCTTCCTGGAGGAGGGGGTGGGGCTTTAGGCCGTCACCACCCACCTCTACCTGGAGTAAAGCCAGTCTCCACCACTCGCCTCCCCAGCTGCCCAAGGTAAAAACTTCTCCAAAGCTTCATCACCTACAAAGAGGGGCGAAGGCAGGCCCCTTGGACCCCGGGGCCTAAGAGGCAGCAGGGCCTCTCCTCACCTCTTTATAAACGCGAAGCCAGGCCGCGGCCCGGAAATGAAGCCTGGGCTGCTGGTGAGTGGCCGATGGGGTAAATTATAATTCACCGATTGTGCCTTGCTGGGACAGGGTCTGTGCTTTTTTCAGATCCAGGAGCCAGAAAAGAGATTGCCCTGGCCTGGGAATTCCCAGGGGCCACATCTCCTTCCCAGGAGTAGGGAGAGCCTGGCCAGTGGCTCCGAGTTGGTAGAGGAAGCCTTTGCCTAAGACCACTAAGCTGCCCCTGCCCCCCGCCCACCTGCTCCCCCTCCACCCTCCCGTCTGCAGCATTAAGTCTTTTCTTCTTCATGTCTTCACTGATTCTTTTATTCTGTCTACAATCCTATAGAACGGTCATCACCTATGTTAATTTCCACATTTGACAGGTGACTTTTTTGGTGTGGTAAAATACACATATCATAAAATTTACTACCTTAATCATTCATAAGTTTAGTGGTTTTTAGTGCACTCATATTGTGAAACGATCACCACCATTCCTCTCCGGAACTCTTTATCTTGCAAAACTGGATCTCTGTACCCATGAAACACTAACTCCCCCATTGCCCCTCCCCCCAGCCCCTGGCAACCACCATTCTGCTTTCTGTCTCTACGAATTTAACTACTCTAGGGACCTCATCTAAGTGGAATCATATAATATTTGTCTTTTTGTGACTGGCTTATTTCACTCAGTGTCATGTCCTCAAGGTTCATCCACGCTGTAGCATATATCAGAATTTCCTTCCTTTTTAAGGCCGAATAATAATTGAGTCTATATATATACCACATTTTGCTTATCCATTCATCCATCAATGGACACTTACTTGGGATATTCTCATATCTTGGCTATTGCTATGAACATGGGTGTACAAGTATCTCAAGACCCTCCCTGCTTTCAGTTCTTTGAGTTATCTATCCAGAAGGGGAATTGCTGGATCATTTGGTAATTCTGTTTTTAATTTTTTGAGGAAACGTCAAATAGTTTTCCACAGTGGTTTGACCATTTTACAGCCCACAAACAGTGCACAAGTGTTCTCATTTTTCCACATTTTTGCCAACACTTGATATTTTCTGTTTTCTTGATAGTAGCCATCTCAATGAATGTGAGATGGTGACAGATGACTTTTGAAATATGTATATAATAGAAATGGAGGCTCAGAAGGAAGTTGACTAATTCATGCTCAAAGTCGTGCCCCTGCTGACAACAAAAATGGGCTCAAGTTACATGACCAACACAATGTGTGTTATGCTCTGTGAAGTATGTCTCGTGGTTCTGATGATGGGGTAAATTAAAATTTACCCCATTTTCAGATAGGAAACTGAGGTTCATGGGCTCAGCCTCCTGACAGTTGAATGAAAGATGAAGGAAATGTGGGCTGGGCTGGGTGGGTGGTAAGCACCGGGCCAGGTATGCTCTGGACCCCAGATGCAGGCTCCTTCCTATGACACAATTGCTCTTCCCTGATTGAACATTCAGCATCTATCTCTGCTTTGCTCCTGGCCTCAGGCTTTGACCCTGGCTGCCAGTGTAGATTTTCACTCCTAGGGATTGTCCCTCCGTTTCTCTGTCTCTCTGTGTCTCTGAGTGTCTCTGGATCTCTGCTATCTCTGAATCTTTTGGCCTCTCTGGGTCTCTAGGTCTTTTGGGCTCTGTCTAGTTCCCTTTGTCTCTCTGGATCTCTATGTGCATCTCTGAATCTCTTGGTCACTCTGGGTCTCTTGGTCTCTTGTGTTTCTGGGTCTCTGGATCTCTTGGTGTCTCTGGTGTCTGGGTTTCTATAGGTCTCTGGATCTGTCAGTCTCGGTGTCTTGGAATCTCTGGGTTTCTGAATCTCTGTGTGTGTCTCTGAATCTCTTGGTCTCTAAGTTTCCCTGCTCTGAGTCTTTCCTTTCTTTGAGTCTCATGTCTCTGTGTCTCTAGTCTCTCTGGGTTTCCCGATCTTCCCGTGCCCACTTCTCATGCTCTCTGAGGCCGGCAGGGCCTTCCCTGACCACCAGGTCTCCATCAGGCCACCCTATTGTGTATGTGTATGTGGTTCTCCTCGTGTATTTGTTGTCCACCTCCTCCAGAAAGGAAGCAGTGACCTGGTGGCCTCCAGAGCAAGCCCCATAAATGTGTTACTGAAGAGGCTATAATCGAATCAGCTTGGTTATTCCTCAACATCTCCCCCATGAAGTGATTAGTATTAATAACCTCATCTTACGAATGAAAACAACAGCAATTAAAACACAGAGTTGAGTTGTTTCTGAGAGATTAAATAACTTACTGCCAGCTACACCGCTAGTGAGTGGAGAGCCACATCTCAGCCTGGCTGCCTGGCCCCGGGCCCCATGGTGAAGCATAAGCCAGGGGCCTGGCTGTCCGGTCCAGCACTGTTTCTGGACCAAGCCTGATGTGAAGAAGGCATGCAGTAAGACTGTGAAGGAGCCCCCAGACCTGCTGTGTTTCCCACCGCTCTCCCTCCCCTCCTCACATAAGGCCAGAGACCAGTAAAGGGGCACAGAAAAGTCTGTGAGTGGGCTAATCGCCTTAACCTTGGATGGGCTTCGGGCCCTTTGCCCAGCAGTGCCAGCCTTGGGCGTCTGACACTCCACATCAGGGAGAATTTTTTAAATTATTATTTTGAAAGAATTTAGACGGAGACAGACATTGCTTAAAAAGTATGGAACATTTTCGTATCCCTTCACCCAGTTTTCCCCAGTGGTAACATCTTGCATAACCACAATACAGTTAGAAGCAGGAAACTGACATTGGTATAGCAGAACTACAGCCCTTATTCGAGTTTTGCCAGTTTTTACAAGCGGTCACTTAAATTTTTTTTTTTTTGTATCTAGTTCTATAAATTTTATCATACGCATGAATTGGTGTAACCACCACTTCAATCAGGATACAAAACAGTTCCATCATCCCCAGGGAACTCCCTGATGTTAACTCTTTAGAGGCACACCCTCCTCCCCGCCCCTGCCCCTGGCAATCATTAATCTGTTCTCCATCTCTATAATTCTGTCACTTAAGAATATTATATATAAATGGGATCATATAGCGTGTGACCTTTTGAGACCCTTATGATTAAATTGGGCCCACCTGCATAATCCAGAATACTTTCTCTCTTTCAAGATCTTTAACTTAACGACATTTGCAAAGTGCCTTTTGCCACACTAGATAATATGTTCATAGGTTCCAGTAATTGGGATGTGGGCATCTTTGGAAGGTCATTATTCTGCCTACCATATTTATCACAGCATAGTTTATACTGAGCTAACTAATATACTGTTCATAAAATGATATATTAGCACTCCATGCTGTTTATAAAAGATACAAATAAAACAAAAGGATATAAAAAGTTTGGCTATACAAGAATAGAAAAAATATCAGGCAAGTACTAAAAGAAAGTTGAAATTGCTATATTAGTATAAGAAAAAAATTATTTTAGGTTAAACATAGTACTAGAGAGAAAGAGGGTTCTTACATAGTGATTTCAAAAATATACGGCAATTTTAAATTTACTCTTTAAAAAAATTATTTTCAATTTTAGTAGTCATTAAATGTACTTACTCTTAAAAAGAAAATCAACAAACAATGGAGCTATGTATGTGTTTATATGTATGTGTAAATGAATAGAACCACAAGGAAAAACAGACAGATCACAATTATATTGGTAGATTTGATGGCACCAGCAGGCAAAAGAAAATTTAGCAAGGATATAAAAGATATGAAGAATATGATTAACAAATTCGACCTAATGGACAAATAGGAAGCACTACAGCCCCCTAAAATGCAAGAAATCATATGCAGAACATTTTCCAATAAATTGATCAAATTCTAGACCATAGAACAACTCAACTGGTTTTTTTAAAAAATTAAAATCATAGTCTGTGTTTTTTTTTTTTATCA